TCAATGAAAATTCAAGAAGAGATGGGAATTTTTCGGTGCAGTGATCTTCAGATAAACTTAATAAAAAACTGAAACCTACTTTGATTGCTGTTAAATTTTAAATTAGGAAATGAAATGTTCAATAAGAAGTTACGCTTGCCACTTCAACTTAATTTTGTATGTTATTTTGTATAATAACATCGATTGATGTTTGTATATGAATTTATTTCATAAACATGGCTATATTTGTTATATTTATAATTATTCGAATTATTAAAATAAGTTTCGACTATAAATAATTGCTTTCCCCCTTGTTTCAATCTTCGAATTTAGGCACACATTTTTTGTATTATGATGTCACCTTTGCATTTTAAGTTAAATATGTTCGTCTCTTGTCAAATAATTGCATAAGCGAAAAATAATGTTATTTTGTTTTCAAAAAATTTTAGTTTTTTCTCTAATTCCGTTTTAGAATACAATGGGTTTGGGACAATCTTTAGCCTATCTTTCAAATTAATTAATTAATAATTTAAATAATTAATAAAGTGCAATTTTGCGTGAGTGAATACGGTGGTTCAGGCGAACGGATGTTGGTTTACGTGAGATCTCATTAAAAACACACGTACTACATTCATGTTCATAACATACTTCCATATTATAAACTTTATTCTAAACAACAATGAATATGTCTTTGTGTATGTTGTGGATGTAATTTTTTACATTTATATGTAATAAATATGATAGCAGCGTATTACACAACTCTTCAACAACGATAAGTTAAGATAGTATAAATATCTTCCATTTCTTTAATTACAGAAAATTATAGGCTGAAATTTTGCAAAAAAAAAAAAACTTCCAGATTATTAATTATTTTTTTCGTAACTCACGGGTTATGATCATCTTCATAAACAAAAATTTTCGTACACACTCCTGAGAGAAACAAAACTTTCTTTTTTACGTGCGCATGAGAACGTTGAAAAAACGTACATTCAATCAAACATTCTTGAAAAAGACAATTTCGCACTCGGAAATTTCTCACTGTCGTGTAATTCTTATTAAAACCGTACAATTCTTGAAAATTTTTCCGCCTACCAAAAATACATCACGCGAGCTGTATATTAACTGAATAAAGCTTGATACTTCAATCGAATGTAGCCGAATGGAACGATTACGAATCTTGATTTTATGATAGCAAAATAAAATCAATAATCGAACATTCACCAAACTTAATGAAATGAAAATGGCCAAGGAAGTTTGGTTTTTTAATTAAGCCGTTGGTCACGCTGCTGGGCAGGGGAACGAGTGAAGTAATTGGTGTGTTTAGCATATAAAATAACGAATTAATAAATTCAAACTTCAAGTAAACTAAATAGAGTCGAAGTAATGTAAGAAAACTGTAGTAAATCAGAGTAAAGTTACACAGTGGATTTTACCAGCAATTTCGCTCCGGACAGAAGCTGCGTGGGTTCAACGAGTCATTCAGGGTAAAAATTCAACGAATTTACGATTAAAACTAAAATTCCCCAAGAAAATGCGTTAAAGAATCTCTATGAATACAGAAAATTTAACATTCCCCGAAAGATAGAAATATGAACAGAAGGTCACGTTCCAAAACATTAATGAACTGAAAATGAATACTTGACGAGTCAAGACTAGTCAATGAGTCAAACTCAATGATTAAAAAAATGAACTGTTATGGTGTTGAACTAGGACACCTATATGAGAAGTGTAAACAAATGTATATGTTAAGAGTCAACTATAAGCATCAATTAATTAGATAGGACAGTTTTCTTCCCCGATCCAAGATTTCAAATTCAGGATTTTTCACAAATTTTAAAATTTTAGATTTAAGATGCATAATTAAAAATTATAAACATATCTACATCCCCACCATAGATCTAATGGTACAAAAAATGACCTCAAGGAGTAAAAAAAAATTATTTCAAATATCTTTTAAATTCCTGAAACTTCACCACTGAAGCAATTTTGATCAATTACGTCATTGAAAATATCTCAAAACGCAGAAGGCAAAACAAAAAAAAAAAAAACAGAACTGCTTTACCAATTTCGCGTCTAAAAATTATCAAGAAAATAAATAATGATCAACAAAAAATCAACAAAAAATTGTCCCATTAAAAAATTAGGCATGAGGATTGTTATTTATGTTATTTATTGATTGATTTCTTTATTTATTGATACAAGGAAGGAAGAATTTCCTGTAATGCTTCGACCGTAGTGATGGATATTGCATCACTGAATATATTTTTGCAAGATTTTCTGTACGTTATATATATTTTTTTTATGTCAGGAGTTATCTAACATTTAACCAAAAAGAAAAATGTAACGGAAGATGCATCAAGAAAGGAACACTAAAAATTTCAAAATAAATAAGGAATCGTAAATTGGGATACTACGTGATAACAACAAAAAATTATTAAGCGATCACGTGACCAAATGCATAATACATGATTAATTAATAATAAGGATAAATGTCAGTTAAAATAAGAAATACCACAACATATAAAAAATTACCATCTGCCCGCGGAAAAAAGGTTAATAATTTAACCTGAGTAAGCACTCAACAAAGGTTAATTTAACCTGACTATCACAAATGGCTTATCACAGCTCACGTTAAAATAGATCATTTAGGTAATTAGAATTTGTAGTTAACACGTTGACTGCGATTGCTTCATCTTGTACTATTATTTTATTTTTTGTACTTTTTTTAAGCAGGGTTGCCAGACGGTCATTTTTTCCGGTCGAATTCCGTGATTTAGTTTTTCTCAATTGCGTTGGCCGGCTAAAATTTATGATAGGGGAACTTCCTAATTAAATTTTAAATACTGCAAACAGAAAATAAATGAAATTTATATAGTGGAACCTACAAATAAACTAGTATATATTGAGTTATCGGCCTTTTTTGGCCTTTTTTGTTCTCGGATTTGGCCGATTTTAGGCAACCTGAATTATGTACCACTACCTCCTGGAGAAATACATTTCGTGGTACGCATATGTACCAATACGTAGTCAACGTGTTAAATGGATGCCATCAAGTGGTATTTGTAATAATTATGAAGCCATTATATTGAATGATATAAATTAAATTACACGTTGTTGATATCCCCAGTTATAATTCAGTGTTGGGCCAGCCGTGTTATGCTATTAATATAAGGCATAATATATATTCATTATAATGAATATACTATAATGAATATAATACATTACTTAACATTCATGGCTGCGTATATTCCCACTTGAATTACTCATGTCAATGAATAAAGTTATCAGATATTTTCATTTGATGAATGATTGGAAGTTATACACAAAAATGGTATAATTGAATAGAACTTAGATAAATGGTAGAGTGTTCGCTTTAATTTCGAAACAGAAATATTAGTTGTCTGAAGAACCAATGATAGGGAATATATAGTGATAAAAATGGCGTAAATATAGAAAATCAGCAAAATTATAACTAAAAAAGTGCGTTTGTAAATCAGGAAAATAAACCAAGGCTCGGAGAACTTGGTGCGTTATTAACATAAAATAAATGGTAGATAAATCGCTGATAGATAAACTAATGGTAGTTAAATTAATGGTAGATAAATTAATGGTAGATAAATTTATGATAGACAAATTAATGGTAGTTAAACGAACAAAAAATACCCCATAGCGAACAAAGTGAGGAACAGTGAAAACGTTGTTTGTTATCTTATGTTATCTTATAATAAATTAATAATGAAAGAACTTCAGGGAACAAGCTTTGTTAATAAGAGAAGGAAGATATTATTTATAGTGAATATAAATATGAGTCATGGTAATGATGACAGTCATGGTAATGATGACAGTCATGGTAATGATGACAGTCATGGTGGTGATGACAGTCATGGTGGTGATGACAGTCATGGTGGTGATGACAGTCATGGTGGTGATGACAGTCATGGTAATGATGACAGTCATGGTAATGATGGCAGTCATGGTGGTGATGGTAAGGTAATATAAAATGATGTTAATAAAAGTATTGTGGTTCCGATTAAAGAGTTTGTTTATGATTACAGCTAATTGACTATGAGGGTCATGGAATCAAGGTATTCATGATACCTGAGAGTAATTTAAACGAGTCAATATTGAAAATCTGAGTATCAGTAATACGAGACTGCAATCTGGTCGGTCATGGTTGGTCATGGTGATATAGATGGTCATAGAGAGTCATGGTATTGCGGTGGTCATGGTTAGTCATGTTGATATAGATGGTCATAGTTAGTCATGGTGATATAGATGGTCATAGTTAATCATGGTGATATAGATGGTCATGGTTGGTTATGGTGATATAGATGGTCATGGTTGGTCATGGTGATATAGAAGGTCATAGTTGGTCATGGTGATATAGATGGTCATAGTTGGTCATGGTGATATAGATGGCCATAGTTGGTCATGGTGATATAGATGGTCATAGTTAGTCTTGGTGATATAGATGGTCATAGTTAGTCATGGTGATATAGATGGTCATAGGGAGTAATGGATGTCAAAAATGTGGAAAACATCACTGTAAGTGAGGATAGGTAAGGGTAAATGAGGGTAAGTCACATAAAATTAGGGTAAGTCACAGCAAATGAGGGTAAGTCAAGGCTTGTGACGGCAAGTAAGGGAAAATAAGAGTAAGTGAGGGTAAGTAAGGGTAAGTGAAGGTAACTGAGGGTAAGTAAGGACACATATACGGGTTAGTCACGGCAAATGAGGGTAAGTCAGCGCTTGTTACGGCAAGTAAGAGGGGAAATAAGGGTAACTGAGGGTAAGTGAGGGTAAGTGAAGGTAGTAAGGGTAACTGAGGGTAAGTAAGGGTAAGTGAGGGTAAGTAAGGACAAATGAGGGTTAGTCACGGCAAACGAGGGTAAGTCAGGGCTTGTGACGGCAAGTAAGAGGGGAAATAAGGACAAGTGAGGTTAGCATGGGTAACTGAGGGTAAGTGAGGGTAACTGAGGGTAAGTGAGGGTAAGTAAGGGTAAGTGAGGGTAAGTACTCACCGGTGATGGAGCAGAGCAGACGCAGCGTGGGAGCGTCGCCGGAGTACTGGTTGATCATCCCCTTGTTGGCGGCCTGTGGCACCACAGCATTGTCAGACCTCATCATACTGCATCATACTTCATCATACTGCATCATACTTCATCATACTTCATCATACTTCATCATACTGCATCATACTTTATCATACTTTATCATACTTTATCATACTTTATCATACTTAATCAGGCTTCATCATACTTCATCATACTTCATCATACTTTATCATACTTTATCATACTTAATCAGGCTTCATCATACTTCATGATACTTCATCATCAGGCTTCATCATACTTAATCAGGCTTCATCATACTTCATCATATTTAATCATACTTCATCATACTTCATCATACTTCATCATACTTCATCATACTTCATCATTATCATCATACTTCATCATACTTCATCAGCCTTCATCAGCCTTCATCATACATCGTCATACTTCATCATACTTCATCATACTTCATCATACTTCATTATTCATCATCAGGTTTCATCATACTTCATCAGCCTTCATCATACTTCATCATTCATCATCATACTTCATCATTCATCATCAGGCTTCATTATTCATCATCAGGCTTCATCATACTTCATCAGGCTTCATCATACTTCATCATTCATCATCAGCCTTCATCATACTTCATCAGGCTTCATCATTCATCATCAGCCCTCATACTTCATCATCAGCCTTCATCATTCATCATCATACTTCATCAGGCTTCATCATTCATCATCAGGCTTCATCATTCATCATCAGGCATCATCAGGCTTCATCATACTTCATCAGGATTCATCATACTTCATCATACTTCATCAGCATTCATCATACTTCATCAGCCTTCATCATACTTCATCATACTTCATCAGGCTTCATCATACTTCATCATCAGGCTTCATCATACTTCATCATTCATCATCACACTTCATCACTCAGCATTATTTTTTATTGTCTTACTCTATTACTCATCATAATAATTGACAGTCATAAATAATTCAGGAAAGGGAATCATTTGAAATATATTTCAGCATTTCAATTCTTCATTATAATGTATAATTTAGAATTATTGTGATCCTATAAGAAATCATGGTGATGAGTCATAAGGGCAGGGTGAGGGTAACTCACCTGAGGGACGGGCAGGGTGAGGGTAACTCACCTGAGGGACGGGCAGGGTGGGGGTAACTCACCTGAGGGACGGGAGGGTAACTCACCTGAGGGACGGGCAGGGTGAGGGTAACTTACCTGAGGGACGGGCAGGGTGAGGGTAACTCACCTGAGGGACCGGCAGGGTGAGGGTAACTCACCTGAGGGACGGGCAGGGTGAGGGTAACTTACCTGAGGGACGGGCAGGGTGAGGGTAACTCACCTGAGGGACCGGCAGGGTGAGGGTAACTCACCTGAGGGACGGGCAGGGTGAGGGTAACTCACCTGAGGCACGGGCAGGGTGAGGGTAACTCACCTGAGGCACGGGCAGGGTGAGGGTAACTCACCTGAGGCACGGGCAGGGTGAGGGTAATCGGCTTATGGAATTTTCTCCTCCTGGGCTCGACGGTAACGATGGGTGACACGGCCACGCGGTTACCCAGTAACTTGGCCGCCAGGTCGGGCGAGATGGGCTGCGCCTGAGGGCACGTTACCGTTACCGTTACCACCAGTCACTAGTTACTTATCTTTACTAAAAGTTACCCACCAGTAACTATAGTTACTTATCTTTACTAAAAGTTACCCACCAGTAACTATAGTTACTTATCTTTACAAAAAGTTACCTAAGTTACTTCAAGTTATGGCCCGTTTTTTCAAATGTTACCGACAGTTTTCCCGTGCCAGTCACTTATCTATACTAAAAGTTACTAAAGTTACTTCAAGTTACGGCCCGTTTTCTCGGGATATCAAATGTTACTGACAGTTTTCCCGGGTTAGCAAAAATTACCGGTATTTCATCTCTGGTTATCATAAGTTACTTGGTATTTATCTATAGTTACAACAAGTTACTGCTAGTTTCTAAGAGTAATCACAAGCTTTTCATTAATCAATAGCAGTAACCTTAAGTTACTCCTGAGATACCCTGTATTATTGTCAGCTTGAAGCAGATCATTACGAATAAATCATTATTGATTTATTATATTACCAGTAAAAAAAAACATACGGATTCTACACTCACACATACACATGACACCGTATCAATACAATATTGTATCACTTCCTTATACAGGATCCATACATTTGTATACACATTGACCGTAAACCCCTCCTTAGCAACGCAGGTATAAATATCTTCGTTAACGAAACGTATTAATCATAAATTGTTAATTCATAATTAATACCCAAATATTACACTGTGCTTAATCATTATTTATATTAAACGGTAATTTCAAGCGACTAACTTCCATGTACACCGCAGTAAAAGCTTTATAAATACATACGAGTTTACAAGCAAACTTAAATAATCTACGAATTTTTTTTACATTCAATCAACACTATTCATTCTCAGAAGATGACATTTTACCCTAATATAAGAACTCGGAAATGATGTAAATAAATAGATTAAAATCATGATAGTGAATAAATGAATAAAATTTTAGTAATTTCACAAACGGTGACACGAAAATAATAAATCGAAAAAATATTGGTAAAAGATGATATTTCTATGAAAGAGAGTTAGTTAGTATACGAGGATACAAAAAAAAGAGCAACAGCAAATAAAAACACAATAAAGAGAGTCAAAAGATACGAGGCAATTTAATAGTTCATGCATAAATTCAAGATAAAGATAATTTTTAATAATAACATGTTTAAAACAGGTTCTAAACATGCAAGCGCGCGTCACGAAAGCGCGATTACAAATATAATACGGGAATATTGACTATCAAATGTGCAGACAATCACAATCGTAATATCAATTATAATTATGATGAAGATAATAATGATAATTAAGCTCACAATAACAATGATTATTAAGCGCCATGCTGGTCACAGGTCACAAACGCTGGTGCTCTAGAAACTAGATCGCTTACCTTATCCATCACTAGGTAAACGCTAGGGTTGGTGGTCGGAATAAAGCCGATTATAGTGTACTAAAATAGTTAGGATTAATCTTTGAAGAACGTCAACTATAAACTTAATAGGGTGATTTTCGCGTAGGATTATTTTTCGATAGAAGTGATGGAAGGATTATTTTTCGATAGGATTAGGATTTTTCGATAGGATTAGGATTATTTTTCGATAGAAGTATGATTAATTTCTTCGGTTTGAATTAATATCATTGTTCTTATATATTGTAATAACTCAAGGTATTGTATCAAGCCAATTATCACCATAACAGTTGATGGGTATGTACTGTATTGTAGATTTCTTAATAATTCATTGTAAATTTCAAGTTGAAAAGAGTTGGCAATATTCTAAATCGTTATGGTTAGATTGGCGAACAAACGATGAAAATCAACTTTGCGATCAAACTTCATTTAATTAAGATATTTACCAATAAACAATTAAAAATCAGAGTTAAGGTTTCTAGAACTTATCGAAAATTTTACAAGCTTGTAAATTTGCCCAAGTTATCGTTAAATCGTGCGTCGTCGAAAAAATCTTTTCGCCAAAAGTCAAGTATAAACAGAATATCGTAACACTAATATAAAACTAAACAACGAATGTAAAATTAAAATTCATACAAAGACAATACAACATGATGTAAATAAGATCTAACATAAACTAAAATTTTCAGGGAAAATTAATTTTTTTGCAGGTTTAATAATTATACGTTTTTTAAGGACTTAGGTGTTAGGTCAAATCAAGATTTCAAGTTTTGAACGGAAACTAAATTAGTCATAATAATTAGATTATTTTTCTTCGTCTGGCTCCAAAAGTCCGTTGGTTTCATGAATTTGAGCTGAAGTAATTGAATGAGAATATCTTAGCATATTAAATGACATGATGCGGTTATATGACATTATGACGTTGGTGAATAGTGATTAATATTAATAATATTAATAATATTAATGAATAGTGAATTAATGACGCAATACGTAACGATATTTCAGAGAACCGTTGAAAAATTGTTTTCCCTATTTTTATTACATTTTTCTTAGATTTAATTGAACGAGTTACAGTAATGAATACAAAATATAATAAATAGGATAAAAAAGGGAACTTATATTATGAGATAAAAATTACAGCATTTGAAGTAAAAAATAAAATATTTATTAAAATAGTAGATGAAAAGATTTTTTCGGTTCAGCATTCATTTTAACTTTCCATGAATACGCTAAAAAGAACACTTTTCCAATTGTCCCAACTGTTCATATAAATTTTTTTTCTAGGATGAACATAGATATTTCTTAGTTTGAACATTATTACTTGAATACGAACCACAAATAAACGACAAAGAAAAAAAAAACGGATTCCGTTGGGCAAATTTACATTCTTTGACCAAGTTCCTAAAAATGTATATGCTCCTTAAAAAAATTTTTCACTTCGAGTTTCATCTACAAAAAAAAGGAATGATTTAAATATTTTGCGGAAATTTGGTTCACGCGAAAAACTCCTTAGCAGTTAAATTTGATATAGTAAATTTTCGTACCTTAAAATGATTGTATTGATTCAATTTCATCTACTGATTGGGTAGATGAGGAGCAGTAGATGAAATTGGGTAGACTCAACACAGCATTTGTGACCACGGAAGCATCTACTCTACACAAGCACCAACACTACAGCTACTTTGCGATCAAAATAAATAGAAATACAGAAGGAAAATTATTATAGCATGACACTCTGGAGCAAGCATGACACTCTGGAGCCAGCATGACACTCTGGAGCAAGCATGACACTCCGGAGCCAGCATGACACTCTTGAGCCAGCATGACACTCTGGAGCAAGCATGACACTCCGGAGCAAGCATGACACTCCGGAGCAAGCATGACACTCTGGAGTAAGCATGACACTCCGGAGCAAGCATGACACTCTGGAGCAAGCATGACACTCCAGAACAAGCATGACACTCCGGAGCAAGCATGACACTCCGGAGCAAGCATGACACTCCGGAGTAAGCATGACACTCCGGAGCAAGCATGACACTCCGGAGCAACCATGACACTCTGGAGTAAGCATGACACTCTGGAGTAAGCATGACACTCCGGAGCAAGCATGACACTCAGGAGCAAGCATGGCACTCTGGAGCAAGCATGACACTCCGGAGCAAGCGTGACACTCAAAAAACAGCATGGCATTTTGTACTCGTTCGAAAATCGTCTTGATATTTTATAAGATATTTTATTTACAAAAATAAACGAAGTTTGTAAATCGGTGAATGTACTTTGAAAATAACTCGTGTAATCTGAAAAATCATCGGAGATTGACAAAATTAAGGCAATAACAGGCAATTAATTAAATAGAGCACGCAATGGGATGCAATAATGACGAGCAAGCAGCAAACAAGAGAACAAGAAACAGGCAATTGTAGAATAATAAATAGCAGGCAGTAAACAGGAGAACAAAGAACAGGCGTTTGAACAAGAGAAATTATTAGTTGATGGCCATAGTAAAAAACAAAAAACAGTGAATATATTCCCAAAAAGTATGAAAAATTATTATGAAGAGTTACAACAGTGAACAAATTTTAAATTAATAAATATAAGAGAGTTGTAAAGAATAATAACTAATAAAAAGATAAGTTGTTTTTTTTTAACAATGATTGTGTCACAATAACAATTACTGGCACTAAATCTTAAACAAAATTCAATTAATGTTGATAAAAGGTTTTGTTCTTGAGAATGGATGAAAAAAGTTGTTTGGAACATAAAATTATAATTAATAAAAACGTAAATTTCAATGAATTGGAAAGGATAAAGTAAGATGGCACTCCAAGCGCGATTGATTGATATAAATCAATCTAAAATTTGAATCGCTTCACATCACTTCAAAACAAAAGATTCAACATTTAAATACACTCGTATAGAAGTTACAATAGACTATTGCTAGCATATTTGCCCGATAAACTATTCATATACGAGAGAATGAGAGTTTTTTCAATACGTTCAATGAACGACAAAGCACAAGTCTCAACTAAAATGCAATAGAGTTCACCAATTTGCAAGTTAAGTTTTACATAACTAAACGAATTCTTTACCTTTAACAAACGATAAAACTTCAGGAGATGGAATTATTTGGACACAATTCAAACCTCGAACTAAAACATGAAGCAATTCTCCCTTCTCCCTTTAGTTCGACAAAAAAAACGTTATACATGAATGCAATTCATTTTATTAATGTATAACGTTAATAAAATTGCATATAACGTTATACGTTATATGCAATTCATTTTATTAACCATGACTCGGGTATTCCGTCGAACCTATAGTTCCAACGGTTACTAACAGCTACCATGGAATTACCAGGTTTTCAGACTATCAAAATACCTGAGCTCCATGTCAGGTCTCCCGTTTAGCCTATAGAATACCAATTACCAAAATACCAGAGTAATTATCTTAAGTTACCTTGAACAGTTGGGGTAATCCCATCACATGACCCATGAGGCACATATTGCTGCTCTTGTATTAAAAACAGTACAATACGCATAATAAATTAATATAACTGATCGGTATAATGCATACCAAGATTTTATGTTGTG